GGGGGGGGGGGGGGACAGAAGAGTGTTTCAAAGATGTAAAAGAGACAGACACAAAAGTAGAAAAAAGGTGAGGTGAGTACGGTTGAAGTAGTCGAATTTGACATACATTGGGGTGATGGTAGTTTGGAGTCAGAAGTCAACTGCCGGTTAATAGACTTTTTTGCTGTATGAGTGTACGTTTCCCAGAGTGCACCCCATGGGGTAGGTCTATCGCGCACTCCTGAAACAATCAATAAAAGTGCTTTATTTCTGTTTACGATTATGGTAATACCAAGGGGAAGAATTTAATAAATTCTGTTCATTACTACGGAAATGTTTTCAATTCCTTTTCTTTCCACTTGCTGCTGGGTTTACTTTCTACAACAATTACAACATTTCTCTGCACTTGTGTTTGGAAGACAAACGGCTTTAGGTGTTCCATTGTTTGCGCACGTGGAGAGTGCCATTAGTTCCTCTTCTTGCTTCGCTATTTAAGATGCTGCCTTCAATCGGTACCAAATTCCAACTCTGCTATTACAATCACAAAATGGAAAAATATTGTTGTATGTATGGAAATACAAATTTAAGCATAGTTTGCCTGTACTCTATCGAAGATCTCAGTCTATCTCAGCAGTCTATCAATGCGACCGACTGAAGTGAGAACTTACTACAGCAAGCTTTCATTTGGATCCGCAGATGCTGCTGCTCAAGATGATTCCAGAAAAAAATTCCAATCAAAATGCTTGCATTTGAGATGGGTCACAATCCACTGTCTTCAACAGTCATTCGAGAAAGGGTCAGCACAAATCAAGCCAATGTCTCACGATTGAAAAATTAGTTGAAATTGAGGAGGCTTTCAAACACAACTCTCAGTGTCAATTTTAGGTTACGAATTGATTATTCTCGATGCATTCAAGCAGGTACATTGAGGGTGAACGAGTAAATTCATTCTCCATATATATTACTAAACTATCGATTATTGGACTTCTGTGCGCAGATTTGGATCTGTAAGACCACCAGTGCAGAATCCGCCGGTGTCAATATTGGTTAACCAGTGAACCAGTCACTTACGAGCGATCTACTTCTTTATCAGAATACTTATTCTCTTAATAAATGGGCCGCTGTTTGAATAGCAAATTTCTTACTTCCTGAGTGGTCCGTGGCTTATAAAGGGAGCGGGTGAGCAAGTTGTAAAAGTGTGTGCAATCTCGATGAGTAGACCATCACCAAAGCCGACTTCTCATATCTCACATTTTCGTCGTCTCCTTTCAATGAATGCATGAATGACGTAAGCGCGTTGGCACTACGCAGGCACTCTTTCACATCGTCAATCGACACTCTGCCTTCAATAGAGTTTCTATTAATCATCGCAGCAACCCCCACCGTTCTGATGTGTCAACTCATAATGCAAGCTTGTTCAATTTGGGTTATACTTGCTGGATGCCTTAAAAAGAGCAGGAATCATTGATTGAGCACGTGCTCCATTCTCTAATATTTGTCGATTTGGGGGTTATTCAATCGCAACTCCCAAGAGACTTTACGCGCTCTCTGTGTCACGTGAAGAAGAAGAAGCTGTAAGCTGTTGAATATCCTGTAGGGTCATTTAGCCTTTGATCTTGTTGCTGGAAGAAAATAAGAATTGCTGTGGTAACACTGGCTCCTCCAACCCCCCCCCCCCCCCTCTTCAGCCATCGTCATGAAATTCCCATTTCCAGAACGTTAACTAGCCTTTTTTCGAAAATGCCCTACGATCCGATATCAAAAAATCAAATAAAGTAGGACTTTCTTGTACCTGATTGATCGTCTCCTCTTTCCCCTATTGCCTCTTGAATTATCTGTCAGCAAATTTTAATTACTTCTCTTAATTATACGGGTTTTCTGCTTTACTATCGCTATTCGTGCCACATTATTTTCGATAGTTAAAAATCGTGCAATCTTATTCCGGCAACAGCTTCTTTGAATATTCTGAGAAGTTGTGAGGTTCTAATGTGTCTTGCCTATTTCTACGATCTTTCAATGCTCGAATTTCGTGAATTAAGCACTTTGAGTTCTTGAGTATAAATCTTATTTAGCGTTCAGAGTTTGGCAACGTTTTGAGGTCCTATTTTTTTTAGATTTTTTTCCAACAATCTCTGGTTTGGAGTGTTGGAAATGCACCAACTCGCTCGTTTATCTACGTTGACTGAAAATAAGGAGAATGTTTGAGTTTCTAGAGCTCATCCTTTCCTGAAAATGAGATGGGAGACACATATTACGAGGTGGGAGTAATTTGTGGGTAATCTTTTGACGCTTTTAAATTCGTATCCGCCAGGTGTCCTTTTAATAGGGAAAGAATAAAATTTATCTCTTTCAGTCTGCATTCCACTATGCAATAGTACACATGAATTGCATTTTCGAAACCTTCCAGATCAACCATTCCTCTTCTTTGCAAGTGTTCCCTTGGCCCTTTTTGTTCCGAATGCATCTCTGTGTGTTGCAACGTAGATATTTGGCATTCGTCAAGGAGGGTGCTTCAATTTAAAATTAAGTTACATTAATTGAATTTGGGCTGTTGAATGCATTACCACTAGTATCTATACTTCGTTTAAAATTGCCAAATTTGAATGCAGATATTATTTACATATACATATGTGTGTGTGGAGATCGATGAAGATTTGATTCGCAAATGTTATGTGCTCAAGATCACAAGTTCTTACAGAAGACGAGATGGTAATATCTCCTAACTTAGCACCAAGAAGTTTGTTAATGTGCCTACAAAATTTAACTAGTCCAGTTTCATCTGAATCTCTAGCTCTCCAGGATTGACACAACAGGCGTTGTTATGGAACCTGTCAGTCATTTCTTGTTGTTGGTCATTAAATTGGTCATTAATTGCTGCCTCCTTCATTTGGTATTGATGACGTTGGTGATTCAGTAAATTTGCACTTGTCTACTAACAGGAACATGACTCAGTGGATCAAATTACTTAACCGAGTGTTCTAGGAGGCTTGCAGACTCCTCTATATGATCTTAAAAGTTAGAAAGGAACTGTTAATTGACAGTTGAATTGAGAGTTCTCTATAATGTGTCAGTTTTGGTACTTAAGTTTATGCTCGACGATTAATTTGAAAATAAGATCAAAAGGTGATATCCGCTCTTGAAAATGAATTAAAACACAAATTAGTGGAGAGGAGGTGGGTAAATCTATTGGTGCAATCAAAGTAATTTATCTACGTCTGGGTCAATTGAGTGTAAGTTGAAAGTTTGAAGAGTATAGGTGACCTACCACCATTCCACAGCTTCTAAACCATCCAGGTGTATACACGATTGTATTGCTTTTTGGGTATTCAGAGTCAACTTCGTCAACGTGAGGGTGAAGTTGGCCAACTGCGACGAGAAATTGCTCGGCTCAACGAGAAACACGAGCATTTGCTTGCAGAGCTCTCCAGACAATCAGCAACAGTTGAGGGTGGCCTCTCTTCCCTTCCTCTTGACGTTGATGCTGGAGGCAAGAGTCTACCCCAACGCTACGAAGTCCTCCTCCAACTCTATGGTCAGAAGTTGGAAGAGAACAACGAGTTGAGGCTGGATCTTCGAGAAGCGAAAGAGGCCTATCAAAGCCAGGTGAGTCAGATTTGATAACTTTGGGATGTTTGATTGTGGGGGATTATTAATATTTTCTAATACTACTGGAGTTTTCCGAAAATCAGTGGGCTATTAGTCGGATGGGCGGTTTTTCGGTTCCAAAAAATAGTTTCACGAAATGGAATTTTCCGTTTAACCGCCCTGGGAGGATTTTCGGAAAACCCAAGGTAACTGGAATCTCCATTGAATGAGCAATAAACCCTTTGATGGCTAAAGCCTAGGGTCATTCAAGTATGAAAGGCCAGAGACGACACAAATCGCCACAATAAGTCCTATTTATGGGCAAAAATTGGGGTCTAGTTGTGTATTTTTGTGTGTAGACCTTTCATAACCAGCAGTTTCGGACTTTCTGTCGTCTTATTTATTTCCCTCTAACTTTGTTTTAGTTGACGGATTTGTTGAACAAATTGGAGTCGAAAAGATGAAGATTAAATTGTGGAAGCAGCAGCAGCAGCGCTGTTTGAAAATTTACTAGTCTTTCTCAAAACCACCAATGACATTCCCCACTCGATGGCTTACCTTGTGCTCATCTCCTTCCACTTGTAAATGTGTGCTCAAATTGCCTCCCCCCAAACCCCCCCCCCCTCTTCTTGTTCAAGTGGTCGAGGACTGTTTGATTTCAAAATAGATGTGATCTTATTTACTTTTCATTCATGGGCTTTATTTGCAATTTAGAAGCTCCAATTGCGGGAAAAATAGGAAGTATTGGTGGATGTAGGGTCCCTTTAATTTGTGTAATTAAAAGCTATATTGACTTTGAACCCACCGTTGCTTCCATACTGCTAGTGGAGATTGATGATCAAAAACATGACCTCCTCATATCGCTTAATCGCCAGTGGCATTGTTTCCAAGCTGGAAGAGGACAAAGCATCTGAATAGATATTTATTTATTTATAACAAATGGCAGGCGTTTTGATGGTTATCATTAGCCCTTTAGTTGACTTCAGGCTTCACACGAGGGGAAGGAACATCAAAGTGAGAAAAAGTCGAGAGGGGGGTAGAAGAATAAATTACAGGTGTAAAAGCGACAGGCAGACACAAAGGTAGAAAAAAGAGAGGTGAGTACTGTGGTAGGGGTCGAATATGGCATACAGTAGGGTCATGGTAGCTTGAAGTGAGAAGTCAACTGCCGGTTAATAGACTTTTTTGCCGCACGAGTATACGTTGCCCAGGGTGCACCACGTGGAGGTAAGTCTTTCGCACACCCCATCTGAACTGACAAGATGATTGTTGGATCTGGCGAAGTCTAGCGAATATTGATGATATGAAAACTCGCCAATTCAAATCCCGAATTCTTTAGAAGTCGTTCCAGCCTTCTGGGACTGTCATGTTAAAGAATTACCCTATTTTAGTAAGCCTAGTGAAGCAATTAGGTATAAAAATTGCGAATTCTTTCTTGTAAAGATTTCAGAAGGAGTGGAAATATTTCTCCACTCATCGTTGATGACCTGACAGCCAAATTTCCATCCTTTGCAATTTGTTCATGCTCTTGAAGTACATTGTCACGGTTGCCAGTAGACATGCGAGTTCCTATAATAGCTACTTCCGAGTGAACCGCGAATGTGATTGCATAAGGGGTTTAAGGCATTTTGATTTTGACAGACCTTATAAAGTGTTATTTCCACATTTATTTCTTTTAAATATTCAACCAGTAAGACATGTCTAATTGAATGAAACGGCAGCAAATGGATGAACTCTGTGGAGAGGAAATTTCAATTACCTTTCGCCTCCAAGTTTTGATTTTTCCGATGCATTGAGAACAAAATTTCAGTAAAAATGTTTTACTACCAGAATCAATCGAACAGATCGATAATTCTGAAAATGAGTGTTGTCACCGGTTACATCTGAAACTTTGCCATTTCTAAGGTGAAATGCAATTATGACACCGGACGGGAATTAAGTGGGGAGGGGGGGGGGTATTGGGAAGGAGTAAATATGAGTTATGTAGGGACTTGTTGTCTCCCTATAAGTTGGGGAATATGATCCTGCCGACGGATTCCAGGTTGTCTGACACTCCAAATTTCGTTAACGGGAGACAGTCACCAATGCATATTTTATGAAGGGTCACTTTAAAATAGGAAACATGTACCTTAGAGCTTTGCTCAAATCGTCACTTTCCTCCAACTGGCACAAAACGGTGCGAGGAACAGTAGAAAAAGTGTACCAATAGCGTTCAAAGAGGAATTTCAATGCTTGTGCGTGGAGTTCTTGAGATAACTTTTACGGGGAAGGCTTTCAAGCATCGTGCACTTACGAGAATTCTCCCCCCCCCCTCCACCCGCCCCCCTGGTCATCAGAAAATCTCTTGTAGCGGTGCCAAAGGTTGTCATGTGACTTGTGTCTATAAGCGCTCTTTGAAAAATGAATTGGAAATCATTTTTATTTTTATCTTCTCCGGTACGTATTTTGAAGACAGATATTTTCGCATTCCTCGCAAAAAAACTCTTGCCGAAATAAAAACTCAATTGCTCTTCTCGTAGATTTTTTTTCTAGATGTCATTCTATGGTAAACACATCCCTCATTTGTTCATTATTCGCTTATTTATTAGTTTATTGGAAATTTGTATACCTTTAATATGATTATTATAGCATTTTCGCAGCAAATTAATTTAATTATTGAAAATTGACCTTATTCAAATAAGAATATATTTGATGAAATGAAAGGGTAAAATGAACAAAAGAGTTCTATTTTGAAGGTAGCAAATAGAATTAAATTAATTAGAATTATGAAAATCCCTAATTTTGAATTCTTGTCGAACTTACGACCAAGTAATGAAACGCTTTGGTTGATGCTGGTGAAATTCCTCTATTATTGTTCAATTCCTGGTGCTTCTATTCTTTTCTTCCAGTCTGAATAATTCCATTCTTCTCAGGTCCAATTTGACAAGATAAAGACAACGACGGAAACCCAGAGATACCGGGAAGCAAGAAGACAGCTAATTAACTGCTATAAATGTACCCCCCCCCACCCATGGGGAAAGCTGAAGTCAAGGTTTGAGGGCTAATGATAAATATCATAAAGCCTGCCATTTGAAAAACAATTGACAAGATACCAAAATTGATCTCACTGTGAACAAAGTGCGATAATAAATCACTCACCATCGAATTGCTCATCAATTAATGCCCTTGAGATTTGACGTCATTCAGTTCTTGGGTACTCTCTGATATTACCATTTAATAATTCATACCTGAAAATTTTACTAATGAGATTTATGGTGCTTTGCCCAGGCTTTATGTTATTTCTAAGGTCATTCAGAAATTAAGTCTGACCGAAGTTTAGGAGGCTTTTAAAATGGATAGTTATTGAGCCATATAAAGTATATCCACAGAGATTTATTAATATTAAATGGTAGGTTTTATGGTTGTTATCAGCAGCCCTTCAATTGACTTCGGGCCTCGCAGGGGAGAGGAACATCAAAGTGAAAAAAGTGGATAGGCGAGGGGGGATAGAAGAGTGAGACAGACAGACAGACACAAAGGTGGAGAAAAGGTAAGAGAAGTGGTGGAATATGACATACAGTGGGGTCATGGTAGTTCGATGTCAGAAGTGAACCGTAGGTTTATGGGCTATTTGTCGTATGAGCACACGTTGCCCATGTTGCACCAAGTGGAGGTAAGTCTATTGCGCACCTCGCATACTCAAAGAAAGATTAACAAGAAATTTCCTCGCACTCATTGTATGATAAAGTCCTTAACGATTTAAAAGTGCATTAGTTTAAAATAAATTGCAAATAATATCTCACTTAGTTTGTTCTTTTCATACAAGAAGGAAAGGAACTTTTTTAAATTTACATCTTTCTTCTCAATAACCCAGCACTTCTGGTTGGAAAGATCTATCGATAGGGTTGTCCTATCTTGCAAAACATTTATGTATTTATTTATATCAAATGGCAGGCGTTTTGATGGTTATCATCAGCCCTTTAGTTGACTTTGGACCTCACAGATTGGAGGAACATCAAAGAGGGAAAAGTCGAGATGGGGAAATAGAAAAACGATTCACAGACGCAAAGGAGACAAACAGACACAAGGGTAGAGAAAAGGTAAGGTGAGTACTGTAGAAGGGGTCGAATATGACATACAATCGGGTCATGGTGGTTAGAATTGAATGGTCAACCACCAGTTAACAGACTTTTTGCCGTTGGCCAGGGTGCACCACGTGGAGGCAAGTCTATCGCACACCCCTCTTGCAAAACATTAATGATAGGTAAGGGTAGGTAAATGAAATGCATTATTCCATTTATCAGATGAGTCCTCCTGTGGGGTTTGCATACAGATATCAGCTGCAGAGTGATCGATAATTGAGTCCAGAACTCAACTCGATAAATAGCATTAGGAGTGCAAAGGATGCGAATGGGATTTAATGTACTTTTAGCGAGAACTTTCCCTCCGAGCAATCGTGTGCTTTAATTTCAAAAATGAATATGAAATCTGTCGACAAGCCTTAATAGCAAAGAGGTTCCATTAGCGCTAAATAGTTTTGAACCCACCCCTGCTTGCAGAAAATTCATTCAGTTTTTACAAACAAAATGATTTGCTATTTTAGGCATTTAGTCTATCCGACAGCACCTCCAACTTGACAGGTGTAGTGTGATAGCTGAAATGACCACTTGAATTTCATTTTTACACGACGTCATTGTGGTATGCTGCTAATTGCACAATCTCTGATGTCAAAAACGGAAGAATGTTAAAGAATTGTGAGTCAAAGAGGCCCCCCTCCTATTTCCCTTGTAAGGAATCCGCAAGTGATAGCTTATGATCACGTTTAACGGGATTGATCACTTGCCTACAGTCCAGGCAGATGCGGTCCTTTCAGGAATGTTGCTAGCGGTCACGTGATTGGCTCATGCTAAGTGCTGTTTGAGGTTATTTTTATTGGTTAGCTCTAGACTTGTGGACGCCTGGCTTCAAAATGCAGTATGAAGCAGGTGAAAGAGGTTCCGTGTCAATGAGGGGATTAAGTGATGACCAATGGCCACTCTGTTTCTGCTAGGCATTGCTCATTAGTTAACAATGGTTGTAAAAACAGTCCTGCTAAATGAACTTTCAATCTGACGGGGCGATTTTATGTTTGACGTTAAATGCGTGGAACAACACAAAATGCTCAAATACAATTGTCAATAATAAAATTATTGTCCTGTATTTCTCAAAGAGGGGTGTGCGATATACTTACCTCCACGTGGTGTATCCTGGGCAACGTATGCTCATACGGCAAAAAAGTCTATTAACTGGCAGTTGACTTCTGACTTCAAACTACCATCACCTCACTCTATGCCATATTCGACCACTTCCACAGTGCTCACCTCACCTTTTTTGTACCTTTGTGTTTGTCTCTTGCATCTTTGAAACACTCTTCTGCTCCCCCCTCCCTCTCGCCTTTTTTTCAATTTGACGTTCCTTCCCCTCTGTGAAGCCTGAAGTCAACTAA